TTTAGCGTGCGCAGTGAAATAGCTCACGTTTTTATACACGCAAACCTTTGATAGATCCGGCCCTTAAAGAACAACATTTGTCTTATTTTTGATCAGTTTTGCAGGGGTAAATCTGGACCCAGTGTCCCATCCAGATTAAAACCCAGATCTGTGAAGATCACATCCAGCAGTTCATGCTGTTTTAGCTAAACAGATTATTTCTTCACTCCTATTGCTGCTCTTCCTGTCATTTAAAATCTAACACTCGATGACACTTTTGTTTATTTTCACCCTTGAGGTTCTGTCCTTCCTCACGGTCTGAAGGTGGGAAATGATTTCCTTCCTGTTTTCCATCCACTCTGCTTGATAAAGAAACATTCTCACTGTTGCTGCTGCGACCCCACCCCTCACACTTCTGAACTGTTTCTTTCCTGCTTTATTACAGCCTTCACTTATTTAACGTCAGGAAATTAAGACTTATTTTGTGTCGCACCACACCTCCTACACTCACACACACATCTTTTTAATCACCGTGCCTGTTTCTCTCTTCTCCCTGCTTTGTGTTTTTTTGGCATTGCTGCTGCTTCCTTGGATAACTATAGAGGAATGGTTTAATCAAGGTGAGTGCCCTACCCTCATTCTTTCAGCTCCTCATTCCTCCACCTTATCTCCATCCATCCTCCTTTCCTTCTCTTCCTGCCCCCCACGGCTTCATTGTGAGTTCAGTATGAAATAGTCTTTCTCCTGAAAACCCTGAAAAGGTCTGCAGAACATTTTAGTGTTCGTTCCATGTGCATCCCTCTGCTCGAGCTCACATCCCCACCTCTTAGGGTAGACTTTATTTTATTTATTTTTGTATTTCTTAGGTTGTACAACTTGTAGAGCCTTTTGTTCACCACCAATTATAACTGTTTCCCCTTCAGTTAAGCTCCTAGTTCTTTGGTGCAGAGCACCAGAAGTATCCAGCTTCAGCTCATCCGGTCTGATCCACGTGTCCATTTAAAAAACGCATATCCAGTTGTTATTCTTCCAAAATAGTTGTTTTTCTGTATGTGGTGAGTGTTAAACCTCACTTGGCCTGGACTATAGTTGATCTCTTGTATTGTTGCACCTGATTCTAGGGGATAAAATGGGATTTATGTGAGCATCATGTTCCATGTGTATTAAGGCAGTTTGAAGCCTAAAATGAAAAAAAAAAAGGACATTAGTATTTTTGTTCTGTTTAGTGAACCAGAAAACATCTAAATCATTACATGATTTTTGAGTTACCATATTTATTTTCATTTAGCAGTAATTAAAAAAAAAAGGTAACGAGAGTTTGAGGGTCTATTTTCGATTATCATATTTTTGACAAGAAGTCAGGAGTCCTCTCTGCCCTGCATACTTCATGTGACTAAGATGCATTTTGTATTTACTCAAAGGAAACCTTAAATGAGGATTAGAAATCCACACAAATTTTCAAGTAATTTGGGTATAATCATGCTGATGGCCAGTTTGCAGAAATCGGAAGTAAGCCTTTACAACCTGATCTCTATGGCAACTGTTGTCATGACTGGATGCAAACTCTCAGCTATTCATATCCATCCAGCTTGTAGAATGCTACGGTTAGTGATTTGAACTGGGTTTGGTTAAGATGAAGCTTCTGGTAGAATATGTTTTAGTTGATGTTTCCAGGGTCAGGACATTTGTCTCACGGGGAGAAAAAAAATCTGTTTCCATTTTCATATTGTGTAAAAAAAAAAAATCAGATAATGGTTTCTTATCTGTTTTCCAATTTTGGTTCAATTAACAAAAAGCACAAATGCCAATGTGTTTTTTTTTCATAGTTGGTTTCAAGTAAAAAAAAAAATACCCATATTTATACCCACAAAGAACACTTGTTCTAAAAGATTTGATCAGGTGAAATAACACTTATATTTTTGTTTTATTGTATTAAATTGAGTTTCAGCCACTCTAAGTTAGGGAGGAGGTTGGTCTTCAAGAAGAAAAATAACTCTAAGCATAGTTTTTATTTTTTTATCTGTACTTTCATTTTAAACAGAGGTGCTGTTTTATTTATCTATTTTGTACAAAAAAAATTTAAAAACCCAAAGTTCTCCTTCACTTTTCATTGTTAACATCATGCAACAAAGCAAATGTGTGTATACTGTATGCATATATATATATATATATATATATCATGCGCATATATATATATACATCTATATATATATAAATATATAGATCTCTCGATGTTTACAAGGAAAACATAAAAGCATTAGAATATAATATAGCTTGACTGTTATCATACTTTAGGTTTATTTTGGATGTTTACAGCCAGAACTCGACAGTCATGGATTGTCCCCCATGAGAATCCAGTTCATTCCTCTCTTCCTACTTCATGTATAAATGTAAACATTTAGGTGGATGTGAGTCATCATCAGTGTTGGCCCGGTGTTAGTTCGGACCTTTACCGATTCATTCTCATGTGTTTATGTGTTCATGTGTTTGAAAGGTCCATTCATCCTAGCAAAATACATGTCAGCTCCACATGGTTCAATAATACTGATACCAGCCTCTAAAACTCGTGTGTCTGTTAGCGTATTTAGAAATCCACGGTTAGGCTGCTAACATCCTCTTCTCTCCTTATTTATTCATGCAGGCAGGAAGAATGGGGAAAATGACAAAAACTACGACACATTGGATCTGCCTAAACGTACAGAGCCTTCCAAAGGTAGGTCCTTTCCCAGGAAAGAGGAAGAGATTTGATGAGGAAGGAGCAGATAAAGTGTCTGGAGGAAGGTCAGGTGATCAATGGTGTAGGAAACTTTGGATGAGGAAAGGTTTTTATTTGTTATTTTTTTCAGTCATCTCTGTGGTATTGTGTCCCCAGTGGGATGGCTGATGATCATATGTTGGTGATAACCCACACATAACTAAGCAGCTTTTTAGCTGCGACAGATTCAGTCTTCCAAACCTTTTACTCATATTTTTTAACACCTTTTTACACATGAGGCTGACATGTTCAGCCTTTCCTGCAGAGTTATGGGCCAACTGGTTTCCGAGCCACAGCCAGAATTTTTCAGGCGTCTGGGCCGGTTGTCAGACAAAAGCAAGTGGGATTCTAAAAACAATAAAAAAATCAACCCTGTATGACTACTCACTTCTGCCTTCAATATTAAGGTATTTATAATTTGTTAATAGATTTCCTTTCCTGGAAGAGACCAGTTTCTCTACTTTGTCAGCAACTTGTTTAATGAGGATGAAGAAAGACATTAGGAGCAATATTCTTCATGGATAGTGAAATCACTGGTAGAGCAACAGAGGTTTCATTAAACATAACCAAAATAAATCACTCAGAACTAGAAACAAGATAATGGATATGAAAAAAGAAAAAAAAGCTCATAAATGATAAGAAATTCTACTCTAAAACACGATATAAAGAAGAAAACAGAAGTAACAGTCGCTCTAAACGTTATAAATATCCTATATAATATTATATTCATATTTTAAGTTGTAATGATTGCTAAATCCGACATGTTTCTTCACTCATTTGAGGAAATGTCAAGGGTTAACATGGATCCTTGAAATACTGCAATAAAAAATGTTCAAGGCCCAGAAAGATTTGATAAACAAAGTCCTCGATTGTTTTTTTGTTTTTGTTTTTTTTGAGGTTTTAAAGTTCACTCATATGCTGACCACCGTAAACTTGTCATTGTTTGTCTGTTCGATAACCTCTTGATTTTTTGTACGTAGCTGATTTGTACTGTATGACTCAAAAACAAGCCTGTTGTAAAGTGACCAAGAGCCTCAGAAGTACAGGATGACAAAGCTGCGGAATCAGCAGCAACCCCTGAAATCGTCCGTTTTAAAGGCTGGATTGATCAGCCAACATCATTAGGTTTGTTTTTAACATTTTGTTGCTACAACTTACTTTGCCTGTATTCTAAATAGATGGCTTCTTAGAAGACTAAAATCAACTTCAACTAAACTAAACAAAACTGTGTTGTTTTCCATTGTGAGCTGCATCAATGATGGGAGAATGTTCTCAACTCTATGGGTTTCCAGAAATGCTGTCCATCATGCTAGGGAAGTTAAGATTTCTGTTCATTTTATCTTAATGCTGTTCAGATTTAGCATTATCTGCAGCTGACTTTTAAAGCTTGGGCCTGTTGCACATTCAGCAGTGCAGGAAAATGTGAGCTTTTCTGTTATTTGTAAGTGACGTGAGGCGAAGCTATGGAAGCTGCTCTGAAAGTTTTGTGAGGAGATACAGAAACGCCCCAATTAATTCATACCCTTGCTTTTGAGATGCTAAATTATTTTTTATTTTTTTCAGCAAGGGAGTTTATATCTCAAAATATTTAAGATCACACAAAAAAAACAGTATTCCTGTTAAAAATATATTTAATTGTTTTGTTTTTTTTTCATTTTATTTGAAAAATGACAGATCAAGAAGTTTAACTCCTCCTCAGAAACACTTTGGTGATATTCAAACATCAGGAGCATTAACGTCAGCCCAAAGTCAAAACCACATCTTTTTTATTCATAATGACCTGCATTAAAACAGCAAAGAGGTCTCCTTTAAACAACATCACTTCTAATTGTCATGCTTTTAAAATTTAAGCACATTTTCTCCCTATAATCACTCCTTATATAGGGGGATAGCAGATGGGCGCTAAGGATAATAAATACGATTTGGTCTACTGGCTCAGTTTTTGTGGGTATTGGCCAAGCTGACATGCTCTCGTTGAGTGTCATTACATTTATGTCAGACAAAATGGAAACAGCACCCGCCTGAGTTTGGATAACGGGGAAGGCAGTTATCTTTTCAGGCCCAAATGTCATACGCAGCTTTTATATTAGACAGCAGCCATACAGTTTCTTGCCTGCATACAGAAACAAATCTGTTTAGTTAGATGTTTATTAGCTTAACATGCATAACGACAACTATAGTACATGGGCTTAATAACCAGAGCAAAATCCACATTAACCTTTAGAGCATATTTTTCACTTTTTTCCCCCCTCAGCTGCTTATTCAAAGGTGCACAGCGCTGCACCACTGCAGAAACCTTCCTACAGAGCCTTGTTTGTTTTGTTTGACATTTTTCCTGCCTCTGTTCGGTTCATGGGACCTACAGTATATTCTTCATTTCTCTGCCATCACTGCTTCAGCTGTGGACACTTCATAGGAGAGCAGCTCTTATTTTGTGGCGATGGCTGAAGGAGATATGGGAGATTACATGTGTATCCCAGTCCTGATCTGTTGTCAGATAGATGGAGGTCAGTGCATGGAGCACACAGGATGTGGTAGTGGGCAGTGATTAATCTGGATGTTTGTGGAGGTGTATGTGTAGGTGTGTGTTTGCTAAGGGAAGGACCAACATAAGATACAGACACCACCACTGATAATCAAAACATCCTGCTTTTCTAACATAGATGTCTTTTCTAATCATTCTCCTTTCCTGACATGTTATCTAAATCAAGAACATTGTTCCCGCTCATTCTGGTGAGGTATAGGTATTTTAGAGGGATGGATGAATAAGGAAAACTATAGTATAAGTACAGAAAATTTGTAATTGTTTTTTCTACCAATCCTATCAATCAATCAGCACGCATAAAGAAAGGTTCCCTGCATACTTTTTATTTTTGATTTTATTATTATGAAAATAAACTTTGGCCTCTTGTGATCAATGTGTCGATTAGTGTTTTTTAATATATTTTTTTTGTCATAGACATAAATAGGTCTACATTGTAAAACGTTCGCGATCGACTGAAACTCAGCCCACGATCGACTGGTTGGGCAGCCCTGATCTACATCTTCCACCCATTCCTTCATCCGTCCATCCTGTGGAAGGACAATTAAAGGGATCCACAACACCTTGAAAATGTTTGTCTAAATATGTTGTCATTTATTGTAATGTTTTGTTATATTTTTCACCCATGGAGGTTGCCGGCATGCCGGGTAGATTCTCCCAGACTGCTTACATTTGATCACTGCTGCATCTTATGGAATGGAAATGTTCATTTAGAGTCTAAAAGCTTTTCTATACAAAATTTCATTTTGTATACACTCTGTGTAAACAAAATGACAATAAAGTTGTCTAAGTCTAAGATGACAAGATTAGGGCCTACTGGATTCTCATTTTCTGGACTTACATTTTAAACACAGGAAGGCACATTATCAGGGTTGTTTCTTTTTTTATTGTTTTGCCGTTGTAAATTTAGACAATGCTACTCTGCATCCCTGGCTCAAAATATCTATACATGAGATATCTGCTGAACCAAACAAATGTGATCAACTTGTGGACTATTGTTTAGCATGTTAGCATGAGCTAACACTATTGGCAGAAGCTAATGTAAAATGAAACGACTGTCTAAAGGGACAGTGAAGCAACTTTCAGTTGTTTGTTACATAGGAGTATGGACTTGTGTCCTTGTCAAGTATGTTCTTGAGAAGAACACCAAAGTATTGGCTTGGGGAGAACGAGAGCACGAAGCATAAATATGGGTCAGTTGGACAGAAGCGTACTTGTGACGTCACCACATGCTCGACTCGTCTGGAGCTGCATTTTACCTCTTGTTACTAATAGTCTCTATAATAAATTCTTACTTTTTTCATTTAGTATATAATTAACACAGTCAAATAAACACAAATTAAACTAATATTTTGCTAAATAAAACAAAAAAATCACCAACAGAACCACCAGTACTTCACACACGGCTATGCAGAGAGAGGGCTGCTGCAGCCCTGGCTATGGTTAGCCTCCAGGGTCCGCTGGTTGCCGCTGTCCTCTCAACCTCTGAATTTTGTTTTAGATTGGGTATTAAATTGGTAAATAGGCCATATAGTGACGCTATGTATGGCTAAAAACATACTTTTATAGCAGAGCAGCTGCTCAGTTGCAGCAAGAAGGTACCAGGTACGATTACTGGCCCGGGGTCTTTTTGCATGGAGTTTGCATATTCTCTCCGAGCAGGCGAGCAGGCGTGGGTTCTCTCCGGGTACTCCGCCTTCCTCCCACAGTCCAAAAACATGACTGTTCGGTTAATTGGTTTCTCTAAATTCTCCTTAGGTGCGAGTGTGAATGATTGTTTGTCTCTGTGTTGCCCTGCGATGGACTGGCGACCTATTCAGGGTGTACCCTGCCTCTTGCCCATAGACAGCTGGAGATAGGCACCAGCACTCCTCGCAACCCCACTTGGGATAATTGTGATGGAATATGGATGGACAGAATGGCAACAGAAAAGAGAACTTTTAACTTAATACTCTGAGATCGCACCACTGAAAGCTGCTGCAACCGCAGTGCATTCTGGGATACCTCTCGATCTCAAGAACAGACAGATCTGCTCTGATGCATACTCTGTAAATAGGGAGGGGCGAGAACAACATCTGGGGACTTTGTCCGTTCTCTGTCTTCTTGTTCTTGTGAATTGGAACGGTACTAGGGCTGAGGCTGATGATGTTTTACGAGCACATGAGAATGCACAAGTACACATATTGAGAAACAGCCATCATTGTATTATATCAAAGAAAATGTTTTGATCCCAACGCTAATTGTAAACAACCTCAGGTAGAAGCTGCAGTGTTTGTAGCATCACTTTCCATCTGGGTTAGCATTGAACACTACCTAGCAGCATAAACACCAGCTTCTTCTTCCAGCTCTCCCCTCTTCCTCCATTTGGTCCTCCTCATCTTCCTTATCCCTGGTGATTTTTATATGTCATCAATTT